AGTAGGTATGGGGCACATGCTCTGGGTGGGACTTGGAGGGAGGGAGCTCGGGCGGGGGTTGGGGTGCAGGAGTAGGTATGGGGCACATGCTCTGGGTGGGACTTGGAGGGAGGGAGCTCGGGCGGGGGTTGGGGTGCCGGATCCAGGTGGCGCTCACCTTGGGCAGCTCCCTGCAAGTGGTGACATGTCCCTGCTGCTCCTCGGTAGAGGTGCAACTAGGCAGCTCTGCGCCGGCCCCGCCCTAAGCGCTGGCTCCGCAGTTCCCATTGGCAGGGAACCGTGGCCAATGGGAGCTGCGGGGGTGGCACCTGCGAGCGGAGGCAGTGTGCAGAGCCATCTAGCTGTGCCTCTGCCTAGGAGCAGCAGGGACATGTCACCACTTGCAGGGAGCTGCCCAAGGTGAGCGCCACCTGGATCCGGCACCCCAACCCCCGCCCGAGCTCCCTCCCTCCAAGTCCCACCCAGAGCATGTGCCCCATACCTACTCCTGCACCCCAACCCCCAACCCCCAGCCCCACACCCCCTCCCCCACTCAAACTCCCACCCTCTTAGTTAACCAGAATTTTTCACTTACTGGCACCCCCCATTCTCCCAACATGCCAGATAAAAAATGTAATATGGTAGTTTGTGTGCAGTTATAAACTTACACACAGTTGTCCATTTTTTGGGTACTTGAAACATTTTGCTTTGCTTGTCACCATTTTTCTTTCCCCTTTATCCTTACAATATTAAAACCCACAAGCTTGTGCACGGACAGTCAAAATTAAACAGATCATAGATTAAGGATAAGGATATATACCTGTTGAGATTGGCTGGCCAGCACCATCAAACAGATCAAACAGATCATTAGAAGACTTGCTGCCAGGGGGTACTGAAGCCTAAAGAAGACAGAATTTACCAGCTTTTTAAAAAACATGATTGAAGTACTATTTATAGTTCAACTGCAAGTGTAGCTTTCTAACTGTCTTATCACAAACTTCACACATGAATTGAGCATTGTTCTCCTGATGAAATGGCCCCCCAAAATGGCCAGAATGTCTGCAAAGATGCAGATGGGTAGAGGGGAGCTTGTTTGATTAACCTAATTAAGCAAAGACAGACTTCACTAGAATATATTTAAGAGAATCTGAAGTTAAAAAGGAACATTACCTACCCATGTTATTTTTACTATCTGTAGCCATTTATGTCCACGGAAGATTTAAACCGGAGAAGCAAACATCAAAGGTGTGCATGTTTAAATCACTCTGGTTTTGGTTGAATGATATAAACCTTATGTAAAATACTAGTAAAGAACGTCACCGTTAACAGGTGGTGAGTATGTTCAATCAGTACTCCAAGTAATGGATCTTAGGGCTTGTCTACATAGGGAGATTTCCTTCCCACATACTTATCGCAGAATTATTAATTCATTAATACATAATTATTCCATTTAGTTATACTGGTATAAGTCTCCACATGAACACTATTCAAGAATTGATTTTATTCCAGAATGATGACTGTGCTTTGGAAAATTATAAATCACTTATTCTGGAATTGTGTGTCCACAGGGGAATTTACACTGGTACAACTATAGAAGAATAATTATTCTGGTATAGCTATGCAAGAAAATTTTACCATGTAGACAAGCCCTTAGTTAATGGACAGAGTTATCTGGAAGACAGACTGTTTTGCAACACATTAATCTAAAATCTCAGAATAACTGACTTGTATTATCAAATATAATTCCAAAGTTACTGTGGGACCCTGACTTAGCTTGCAAGGTCACAAAGAAGACAGAGGGAAAGCAGTATTGAAGCCTTCCTTTTATCAGTCATGTAACAAGGAAGAGAATGCATTTCCTGACAGTACCATGGCACATCAGAAGTCACTTCACTAGCATAGTCACTAATACTAGTATTGGTCATGAATTTCCAAGAGAATGTTTTTCCATCAGAAAAATGCTGATTTGGCTAAACTGTTTTCAGGAAAGGGTTAATTTTGACAAATTTTGAAAAAAAATTGGGGAGTTTAGAAATTTTCTAAACATCTCATTTTGACACTCCTGAAACAAAAAATATTTTGTTTTTTGGTTTGAAACTTTAGTTAATTTATACTAAAAATAAAAATTTTAAAAAGTCAAAATTGAAGTGAAACCTTTCAATTAACCCAATCTGAAATTTTTGGAGTATTGTTTGTGAAAGTTTTTGAAATTTCAACTACACCTCTACCCCATTTTAACGCTGTCCTTGGGAGCCAAAAAAATCTTACTGCGTTATAGGTGAAACCGCGTTATATCGAACTTGCTTTGATCCGTTGGAGTGCACAGCCCCACTTCCCCGGAGCACTGCTTTACCGCGTTATATCGGGGTAGAGGTGTACTTGTCTAATTCAGGATGGGAAGTTTTTTTTTTTTAAAATCTTATGGGATGAAA